CGCTGCTGGCCCGGGCGGAGCGGGAGGCGGCTGCTGCCCGCGCCTCCGCGCTGGGGAAGGGGCTCGTGGCTCCGCGGCCGCTGGGACAGGGTGCTGCTCGGCACCGCGACCCAGCGGCCACCCCGGTGTGGCTGCCCGGGGCTGGAGGAGGTGCTGGGGCCCTGGGGGCAGGAACAGGGTGAACACCCCCCTTCCCGCCCCGGGCTGGCTTCAGCTCCACCCCAGAGCAGGAATCTTCAGGGTAATCTAGGAACTGGCCACGGGGGGTTCCCTGCTACCACCCCCAGCAAAACCAGTTGAGCCCAGCAGGCCTGCTCTACAGGCACATGCACAGAGTTGCCTGTCCTCGGAGAAGTGCAGCCCGCGTGCGGRACAGGAACAGCTTTCAGTTGGGCTGCGGGCACCCGCCCCGTGGGTGCCGGCGCCATTGGGTGCCCTCGATAAGCCTTATCGTGGGCCAGAGGGAGCCGGGCCAGGTGCTGGCACGGCCGCAGGCAGCGCCTGCGCGGGTTGTGTAACGTGTTTGTTGTGCTGGGAAGGGCCCGAGCCCGAGGAACAGGGAGTTCTTAGCAGAGCTATCGCTGCGCCAGCTGCTGCCCTCAGCTGCTCTCTGCCTTTGGCAGCCTGGCACCGAGGCGCCGCTCTGTCCCCTCCGCCCTGGCCCGACCTCCTGCAGGGACAGCTGGGCCCCGCGGCAAGGCCGAGGGGCGGGAGCGGCCTTTGTGCCAGGGCGGCAGCAGCGCCGGGAGCTCGGAAGGGCCGCTCGCGGGTAGGGGGAGCCCGCGCGGCCTCGCACACGGCAGTGCCGTGGGCAGCTCCCTCGCGCCTGGCTCGGCCGGGCAGTGCGGGACGCGGCCCTCAGCTTTGCCTCGCCAGGAAGGGGCTGTGGGAGSTAGGGAGCGTGCAGGGTCCCTGCCGTTGGAAGCGGAGGGCTCCCCAGAGCCCAGCAAGCTTCCAAGCACAGTCGCTGGGCTGCGCTGGGGACCTGGCTGCGRTGTGGCAGCCTGACCTCACTGTGCCTGCAGCCAGCTCGGACGGGCCTGCAGTGCTGCAGGCAGCACTGAGGTCCATGTTGGAGCTGCCTGGCCGCGTGCCTCCCGAGCATCCAGATGTCTCCCCACACCCGTGCTGTGCCTCAGCAGGGCCCTGGGAGCTTTGGCACAGAAGAACAATGTGGGGAAGGGCTGCCGTGCAGGAGAGGGGGGTTTCATACCCTGTCCTACAGGAAATCCCACACTGGCACTAAGTGCGGGTGTGGCGGAGTGCTGCATCCAGCCCCTTCCCTCCCCCTGCTCTGGGCTCAGGCTCTGGCCATGGCGCTGGGGGAAGGGGACTGCCAGGGGCCAAGGGTGCCTGACTGCGCCCTGCTTTTGGCAGGTACCCGCATCATCTACGACCGCAAGTTCCTGCTGGAGTGCAAGAATTCACCCGTGGCCAGGACCCCTCCCTGCTGCCTGCCCCAGATCCCCGGTGTCACCTCCCCGGCCCAGCCCAGCCTCGTCAAGCTGGGGGAGCTCAAGGAGCAGAATGAGAGCGAGGAAACCTTGCCAGGTGAGCAGCCCAGGCGCCATACCCCTTGCCAAAGCAGGTGAACAGGGCCATGTTGCCGGGGAAGGGGGGTTCTCACCTAGCCAAAAGGGCAAGGAGAGGCTAAATTTTCTGCTGCCCTGTGGCAGTTCATTTACCTACAGATTTCCTTCAAGTTAGCCTCCTCCTAACCCTGACCCTTTTTGTCCTTCCAGATCAAGACCAGTTTGAGATGGACATCTGAGTTTTCAGCTCCCCGTCTCCAGGCCATGGCTGGGCCTGTGTCTGGGCCTTGTGGAGGTGCTGGCACCGCGACCGGCTGACTGCAGCCCTCCCTGTGATGCTGGGGATGGACGCGTGACACCTTATGGGCTCCGGCACGACTGGCTGGTGCGACTGCTTAGGGAGCTCACGCTTGATCAATAAACACCATGAAACCCCTGCTCTGTGCCGGTGGATCTCTGTACTGGGGCTTAGGGAGGCCCTTGGAGCACTGGGAAGGGTAATGAGGGTAAGGCAAGCAATCCCAGCTGATCTTTCCTTGTGTGATGAGAGCCTGCAAGGTGAATGCAAGACTGCCAAGACCCACAGTGCAACCAGTACTTCTCCACAGCTTTGGTAGTACTTGGGCCTGAGAGCTGGGAGCAGCTGACTCCGCTGCCAGGCTTGGGCTGCCTCCTGCCCTGCCTCCTGCTGCAGCAGGCAGGGTACTCGCAGGGTTGTGGCAGCCATGCCTGGGGGAGGTGGATGAGGCCTTCCTGCCTGGAGCTGCACCAGGTGCCTGCCTTTGCATTCACTGCACTGTCCAGGGCCGATTCACACAGTGTCTGAGCTGTGCCAGGGTGAGCAGGACCTCAGCCCTAGGGCTCTTCCCCTACAGCAGGTTGCTCCAGGATGGCTGCACGTGCTGCAGAGGTGCAGGGTACACCCCACTGTGCTGAGAGCTCCTTGAGACCAGACTGAGGTTCTTGGGGCCTCACTCTACATCTCCAACCAGTTACTGAAGAAAAAGGTGCCAGCCAGGCCCAAAGTACTAGCACAGCCTGGAGCCAGAAACAGATTGGTGCTATTTATTAAACATCCTCAAGTGAATCACCACTAAAATGCCATGGAGATTAAATTTCTCCCTTTTTCCGAGAATGGATTAGGAACAAGAGGAGACAGCCACAGCTTCTCAGGCACGAAGGGGCCCTCTCCTCCCAGTGGCCCCACCACACGCTGCGCTGCCCACAGTCTGCATCAGGCAACTTCCTGGTGAGGCGGCATCTCAGTCTTGTCATCCTGGGGTTCAGTGAGCTCCCCCGTGGGCAGGTTCCTCATCTCGGCGATCAGGCGCTTGACACCCACCAGCCACTGGCTCACCTCGTTCACATGGTCCACCATGAGTGAGCGGTGGATCTCATCAGCCGCGTCCCACGAACACTGCTGCAGCTCTGCCGAGGAAAGGGAAGCCATCAGCAGCTCCACGTCAGTATCTTGGTGGGCACCACGTGCCCGATGGCCCAGGCATGATACAGGTCCAGTCTCAATGCTCCTCACCTTGAACCAGGAGGTTCATCCTCTTCCTCACAGGGGCTGAGAGCTTCCCCTGAGCCCACATGTCCCCGAGTACTGTGAGCCGCCGCCCAATGTCCTCACMCACTTGTTTCTGGAAGCACAGGGAAGAGCCTGAGTGATGCCCGGCCTCAGCAGGGTGCCTCTGGGCAGCTGTCTCAGGTAGAGGTGGCTCTGCCAGCCCCACAGCAACTCCTAGCAGCAAACAGCTGCAGCCCGGCTGCTGAACCTCCCTGCTCTCTAGTGCAGAACAGCACTGATGGAAGAGCCGGGTGAAACAAGGCTAGGATCAGGAGCTAGAGGAATAAGCACCCAAGGCCTCACCTGCACCGTGGGCCGGCAGGCATCCAGGGCCTTGTGCAGCGGGATGAGGACAGCGTCCGCGGGCACACTGCAGTCCTCTGGGGGCTCCTCTGCATTTGGCCTCACGCTCCCTGTCCGCAGGGCAGGGTGGACAGGCCCAAGCGGGGGAGGCCCCAGCGATTTGGGGGGCGAGCCTGCGGAGGCGGCAGGGGCACCGGGGCCCGGAGGAGTGCCTGCAGGGAACACGCACCGCTGCGGCGGGCGCTCAGCTCACTGCCCAGGGCCCCCCAGCGCCGCGGCCCCTCCGGCTCCCGGGGCTGCTGCCGGCTCCCTCTCGCCGGCCCCGCCGGGGCTCG